CCATGGGCTGCGCAACGGTGGCGGTGTGGGCGACATTCTCCGCAAGCCCTCCAAAGACGTGAGCACCCCTGCCCCACTCCCAGATCCACATGGCCCAAGCCCTGGCCGGGTCAGCAGCTGTGAGGGGCCTGCCCTCGGGTCATGGCCAGGTAGAGCAGCTTGGCCCCTTCAATCTTCCGTGTTAAAAGCTCTTCATCTGTATCCCCATTTTCCTGCTTTTCTACCTGGTCAGAGTGCAGTTATGTTGTTGATGAGCCATCCCCACCCCAGTCTGCTCAGTCACCCCCACCAGCTCACTATGGATGCTCCAAGGAAAGACCTTGGCAATGGAACTTTGCCCAGGCTGGGAAGGCATGAGTCAGCTGGTGGGCAGATCCCCGGGGCACACTGGCTTCATCTTAGAGGCAGAGCCCCAGTCCACAGCAGGGCAGGCAGGGTGGGGAGCTGAGTCAGCTTCATAAAGAGGCCTCAGGATTTGGCTCTGGCAGCCCAGCATTCCCAGAACAGCAGTCTGTCACCAGTCCCATGGGGGGTGAGAAGCCACCTCCCTGGCCAGACAGAGGGTTTCTAGAATATGTGAGGCCGGGTATCCTGAGGGCGGGGCAGAGGAGTTCAGCTCTGGCTCTTCCCCTAACCAGAAGTTAGGGGCAGGCACAAGCCTAGGCTGGCATCCTTTCTGAGTCCTCTGTTCCAAATCTATACTTGGGGGTGTGATTCTCATTCCGTGGGTCCACTCTGCCATCTTTAGGGCCCAGGGAGCTAGAGACCCTCATTTCGTTTAGCTGTGCACTGGGCCCCTCTGTTATAGCCCTGACCCTGCCTGAGCCCTGTCTGCCAGATGGACCCGGCACTGCTGAGCCCAGCCTCCCTGCCTTGCCCTGCAGGAGTCTCTATTCCCAGCTCGTGTGGTCTACGACCTCCTGTTCTTTTTCATTGTCATTATCATTGTGCTGAACCTCATCTTTGGGGTGATCATCGACACCTTTGCTGACCTACGCAGTGAGAAGCAGAAGAAGGAAGAGATTCTCAAGACCACATGCTTCATCTGTGGTGAGGCCTGGTTCCTGCCCCACAGAGGTTATGGCAGGGCCAGGGCAGCCTGTGGGCTGGGACATCATTTGGGCCAGTGGCAGCCTCAGTTTGGCCCTTCCCCAGATTCCTGCAGCCACAGGGAAACCCTGCTCTGGGACTGATGGCTTGATGGCTGTTCGCTCATCCCAGAAATGGGGACAATAGGACCCTGCCTGAATTCAGAGTAATAGAGGAAGAGGGAAAGGGCCTCAGAAACCATTCTTTTAAACCCTTTCAATTTACAGAGGAAACAGAAGTCCTGTCAGTGGCCTTGAGCCTCTGGGCTTTTCCCATCCCTGGTATGAAGTGCTGGTCCCTTCATCAGCCACCACAGGCTAAGGAACGGGTGTCACCTATAGGACAAATCTCTTAACCTTTTCCTTGGGTTAGAGGAATTCTGGCATTTGCTCCCATAGTCCTCAACTGCCATTGTGGAGGGCTGCAGCTGTGGCAGGGCGGGATCTCCATGGCTTTAAATAGAAGTGACCTAAATAGCCCAGAGTGGGCTGTCGCCTATGTTCATCAGACCTTTTAGCCTAAGAACAGATGTCCCTATTGCATCAAGAGGTGGTGTGTGCAGCAGCAGGTGGCCTCACAGTGGCTCATGGAGGCGGATGGTTTTATCCTCACCCTCTTCATCCTCAGGTCTGGAGAGGGACAAGTTTGACAACAAGACGGTGTCATTTGAGGAGCACATCAAGTTTGAGCACAACATGTGGAACTACCTGTACTTCATTGTGCTGGTCCGTGTGAAAAACAAGACGGACTACACGGGGCCCGAGAGCTACGTTGCCCAGATGATCAAGGTGTGGGCCCTGGAAGGGGGTGGCTGTGTCTGCCTGCACTGATCAGGGAGGCCTGGGGGTGGGGCGGGACAGCTGTGGACACTTGTTGAAAGGCCAACGTGGGAGCAGAGGAGCAGCTGGAGCCAGCCCTCAGTAACATGGGAGCTCGGCTAGCTGCCTGAGCTGCAGAGGGTCCTGCAGCTCTGTTGTCACGAGAAAGCCCTTGGCAAACCCATCAGACCCCAAGGACAGGTGTGGTACCCCTGGGCCCTGGGTGCCTAATGCTGAGGTGGCACGGAAGCAGGCAGACCTTGCCATGGCTGCTGCTCTGTGGACCATTTTGAGAGAGCCTTTGTAAGCTCAGTGAGAGGAAGGGCAGCTTCCCAAAGCCTGTATGGTCCCAGGCCGAGAGGGAGCCTGGAAAAACTTTATCAGGCTGTGGCGGAATCAAATTTAATATGTCCAAGTTCTGTTGTAACACAGGGAATGAAGTTAGTGAGTAAAAAATGGTCTTGTGGTGTTTTGGGTAAAGGAAGGCCATCAGTTCCATCAGATGTAGTGCATCTTCAAATTGCTACACAGCAGATAAATTGCAGGCTGAAAGAAAAGACCTATTTAGTGTGCAAAAAAGTTCTGTTTGTTTTTTAAGTCTGTAATTTGAACTGCTCTTTGAGTATAGGTTTATCAGTTGGTCTGAGAATTCAATTTGCCACAAGGAACTGGGAAAGTGCTTGGTGCCCCTCTCCCGCTCCTCCTCTGTCCTGAGAAACATGGCTTTCCCTCTCACATGTCAGATGCCAGTGTCCTCAGCAGGCCTCCCTCTCCCTCAGCATGCCATTTGTCTGACTTGCATTTTCCTGGGGTGTGTGGCGTGGGGTGTGCATGTCAGGGTGGGGTGGGGAGAGAGGAAGGAAGGAAGGAAGGAGATTCAGGGTCTGGGTGCAGAGGCCTTCCCTCCACCTCTCGAGGAGTGTTGTGAGAGTAAACAGATGGTGCTGATAGCAGTGAAAGACTTGAGGCAGTCTAACGGAAGTCAGCCTGTCACAGTGCCATAGCCTTAATGCCTGAAGAGTGTTCACTGCCAGCTCACTCTGGCCCCGGGGAGGACCCTGGTCAATTCAGACTGTCCCATGACACATCCCTGGGGAGTACTTTTGTCGAGGGCGTGGCAGCAGGCTCCCCCTGCATTACTGCTTTTCAAAACGAGGGCTTCCTAGGCCGGGCCCAAGCTTGCTCACTGTATTGGTGATCTTTTTCAGAACAAGAACCTGGACTGGTTCCCCCGGATGAGGGCCATGTCGCTAGTGAGCAACGAAGGGGAGGGGGAGCAGAATGAGATCCGGATTCTTCAGGACAAGCTTAACTCCACCATGAAGCTGGTGTCCTACCTCACTGCCCAGCTCAACGAGCTCAAGGAGCAGGTGTGCACCCCAGCCCTATCCTAGCACCACCCTTGGGGTTCCATACTGGGCAGCCTCAGACTGTCACAGCCTAGCCTGCCATGGGGGAGGAGGGAGTAGGTGCTGGGGCCTTCCTGTCCCACATTTCTTCCTGGTCCTTGTTCTTGGGTCTGGGGTAGAAGACAGGTCCCAAACACGTCCTCCCTTCTGGGGAAAGCTAGACTAGGGGTTGCAGCCCCCATTCCTGAGCTCCTGAAAGACATGGCCAAGAGGAACTTTGGTGCAGGTGTGAGCCCCACCCTTTTTAGCAGTGGCTAGGAAGTCCCTCCAAAGGGTTCATTGGTGATAGTAAGAGGTCAAAGCATCCTTCTGCTTCTCAAGATGCTCTTTTGCCTAGAGCATCTTCCTTTCCATCTGGCAGCGACAATGAGGTTAGGCAGCCCCTTTTAGGTAGGGTGGTTTCCCAGCTGCACCAAATTAGGGGTTTGCGACATGCTAATTAAGGATGAAGGTTTGGGGCTGACATCCTCACTGCACCCTGAGGGCCTCGGCCTACTGCCAGTGCTGAACGGCAGCTGGGTCCATGGTGGGAGGGTGGGTGCCAGCCCCTCTGCAGTTCTTGTGGAGAGATGGTCCCGGGTGGCCTGACCTGTTAGCATCTGTTTAACTCTAGATGACAGAGCAGCGGAAACGCAGGCAACGCCTGGGCTTTGTGGATGTCCAGAACTGCATGAGTCGCTGAGAAGAGCCATGGAAAGCCCCATCAAAGGCCCAGACGGGATGTTTGTCACTAGAGAGCTGTAACTGGGAACATTGCCCCTTTTCTCTGGTCAGGTGGCCCAGCCAGCCTACCAGCCTCTCAAAGGCTAGGTGCCTACCCAGCCTTCAGCTCTTAATCTGCCAGACACTCCCCAAGCGTACCCAAGATCTGACCAGCATGGAGAGGATGGCCTCAGAGCTGACAGTCCTGCCCTAAGACTCAGATACTCAGTGGGACTCAATTTACCTTAATGCCTTAGAGCAAAGTAAGTCCTCTTAAAGGACTACTGCTTGGCACTTGTCCCTTAAAGCAGTAACTGACATTCCTTTGTACTACTCCTCGTGGGTGATGAGTGGGGCCGCCTCTTTCTTCCAAGCACTACATTTTAGTTGCTGCCTACCTCTGGGGGAGGTGCAGTAATGCTGTTGCTAGTGATTCTAGGGCTTTGTTAAGGAGCTTATTCACAGGCTGTGCTCAGCCCTGCTCAGCCCTGCCCAGCCCTGCCCAGCCCTGCCCATGGCCACACAGCTCCCACCGTGCCTTGGATGTGCTGTAGACAGTGTAAATGTGTGTCCCAGGTGGAGCAAGGATGGAGACCTTTGCTCATGGGACCTGTCTCTTCCTGGGCCTCCTGGAGAAGAGTCACAGACCTGGTGACAGGGCTGGGGTATGTTAGAGTGGATGGTTTTTGACTGCTTGTTTTTTTTCCTTTTGGTGTAATGTTTTACAAGTCTTTTGGCCTGAGAACTAATATGTTAATTGCCTTAAATAAATTAATAGAAATATAGTCCATTAGAAAGAGGTGTGTTTCCTATACCCCCAGTGTACCAGTGTCGTACACTGGTAGAGGACAAAATACGAGCCCTTGTCCGCTGGCCCCGCCTTACCTAGAGCTCTCGGGAGATGCTCCGAGTTACCCTAACCACAGTAATTCCTAACCAGGGGTCCCTGGACAGAACTAGAACTGTATTGCAATATAACTGGTTTATGTCATAATCCTGTGTATTTTATTATATGCATTCCAAGACATACAGAGGAGTCCAGGTACAAATGAGATGAAGAACCCATTTCCACTTCTCCATGAGGGGTGCTGTTGATCCCTGCCCCACCACTCCCCAGCCTGGTTTTTGACAAGAAAGCTCAAGAATGAATTGTGAAGGTCTACTAGTAAGAGCTAAGGTTTCATGGAATAATAAGGTGACCCTGTGTATGTCCCCGGCCAGCGAGCCCCTGTCCTGTGACCTCCAAAGAACCCGCCCAGAATGCTGAAACCACCGCAACCCAAGGCCCCCACTGGCCAAGGCCTGTCTGCAGCTCTTCTCTGTACCTTAAAACAACTTGGAACATATGTTTTCTGCAAGGCCAGGGGCAGAGGACCAAGCTCCATCCTTCTGAGTCAGGGAAATGAGGGCCAAGCAGGCTTTTCTCATGTCTGCTGTACCTCCCTCCTTCTGCTATCTATTTGCGACAGGATGCCTTCTTCAATATTTACTGCTATTTTTGGCTATCTCCCAGGAGCTCCTACAACAAAAGGGAGCTGGAGAATCTTGCCAGAAGCCAGCCAGACCCCTGTTGACAGGTGGGGCTCCCGTGGCTGAGCAGGAAGCACCTTGTCCAGAGGCCCTGTCACCTTCCCTTCTCAGGCCCAGGCAGAGTGCAGTGTTTCCTCCCTCTGGGAGACTTCCCTGCCCTAGCTGGAGGGCAGGGCGGATGCTTAATGGCATCTCTTCTCAAGCTGAAGCATTCTTTTGAGCAATAAGGGCTTCCTTTCTGAGGAGGCTAGATGAGATTCCCAAGGAGGCCAGGGGGAAATCGGGGCAGTTTTATTTATGATGGCAACATACAAGACTCCACGCTTAGGTACGTGGGCGAGATAAGGACTGAGCCCAGGCCTTATGCTTCTCCTCAGGACTTCTGGGGCTAAATTTCTCCTGCAGTTTCTTCCATATGCCTTTATTTATATCCTTAAACTCTTCCAGGGTGTCTGCAAAAGGGCAAGACAAAAAAAGAGAGACTAAAGTCTAAAATTTGATTACTTACATTGGCCCCACAAGGCTTTTGCATGAGACCCAACTTCTGAAGCAAATCAGATAGGTATTAGAAAAATGACTGCTGGCATGAAATGAGTGCTTATGAACCAGGACCATGCTAAGCAAAATGCATTCTTACATCAACATCTAAGCAGGGTCCCTGATACCCTGCTTCACATGAGTGAGTAAAGAAATGGCACTGGTGTCAGCTGTGCAACCCACAGGCCAAGATGCTCACTCTCAAAACCTGGCCTCTGTCACACAGACCTTACTGTCTCCATTTTTCAGATGAGGAAACTGAGGCAGAGGAAGGCTAAATAACTTGCTTAGGTCACACAGCTAGAAAGTAAGTGATAGAGCTGGCACTTGAACCCAGGTGGTGCGGGTCTACCACATGCTGTGGGATTGAGTAGGCACCACAGAGGTAGACAGACCTGAGCCAGAATCCCTGCCTATCATCTTCCCACTGGGTCCTCTCAAATAAATTACCCTGTGAGCCTCAGGTTCCTCATCTGTAAAGTGGAGATAAAAATTCCTGCCTCAAAAGTTGTGAGAATGAAAGGACATAATGGAGGTAATTTGCCTGGCACCCAGCCTGCACCCCGCAAAAAGTGGCTATCTTCTTAGCTACGAAGGCAGTAGGGAGCTGGTAGAAGGTAGGGTAGGGCCCCTGTATAAGCACACACACACACGCACATTTTTAATTGCTGATAAGGTGATCCTGCCTGGCCAAAATACCCCAGTCTTCCAGAGAGCACTGTGATAAAAACAGGACCAGAGTAGACAAGTATAAATCTGGAGGGCCAAATCCCCAAAACTTAGTTGCTGAAAGCTGCCAGAGGAATAGTAAATACAAATTTCTAGAGTACCAGAAGGCAAATGTTTCAGGGCCATGCCCTCCCAGAAAAGGTTAGCCTATTTTTGTATATGATATTCTTGGCAATAAAAATAGCAATTTTCCAGAACCTGCCTACTTCAACCCAGGCTCCCCCTGCTGCTACCCCCCAACTCCCCAGTCAGTGACAATGGACATGGGGAAGTAAGGAGGGGATCAGCTAGGCAGGGTATTTCCTTTCCTGTTAATCAGGGTCTATCAACCACTCCAAAACATACCTATATCTAACCCACAAACCATGTCCCCTGGGTCAGATAACTCTTAAGCGGATATCCCCATATACATTTATTGAATGGCTTTTTGTTTTAATTAAAACCTTCATTGTTTATAAAGCCCGCTTAGGACTATAAAAATAAAATTATTTTCCTTCCATCCTGATTTCAACTACTTCCCTTTGGCAAATACGTATTCCCCTATTCTCTGTTGCCCGGTCTTGAATTTAAAAGCTCTAAAGATGGATTTTCTTTTTTTAAATAATGCTTTTGACCTTTTTCATATTCTATGGCCAAAGTCTGAGCCCTGTAGCTTCAGAATTTCCTCTGGGCTATTCCACAAGACTTTACATCAAACAAAACTGTCTTATTAGACAATTCCCCTTGGCCGCTCAAACTCAGGATCATTTGCAAACCAACCAGAAAGGGCAGCTGTGCTTTCAATACCTGTGGACAGGATCAGCTTGTACTCTTCCACAGAGAGGCCACTGAAGCTCGTGTCTCTGGGGCGAGGGTACTGGTCACACAGGGCAGAGGGGAAGCGAGAAGGGAGGGGAGAGAGGATTAGTTCTGCAGCACAACCTGAGACCTGATGATCCTGGAGAGCAAGCAGCCTTGCTCTTTAACTGCAGTTCACTGGGCCCTGGGTGTCCAGGGGCCAGTCCCAGCAAGAAGAGCAGCACCACCTGGAGGTCAAAGACTTGACCTGGAAAGACCCAGTATTATCTGGAATAGGCGGCTCCAACTTGATCATGAACAAGAACCCTCTGGGGAAATGCAGGCTGTGATTCAGGAGGATGGGTGGGGCCCACGATCCTCATTTTCAACCAGCTTGCAGGTGATGCCCTGCTGCTGCTCTGGGGCTACTTTTTGAGTTGTGAGGATTCAGAAGAAATCCTCTTCCATGTAGGCTAGGCATTTGGCCATGTATATTTGGGAGTTACTGAACACATTTTTCAAGGCTGGGGAAAACAACACTCAATGAAATTTGACAGTAATCCTGAAAAGGCCAAGAAAAAGCTCAGTTTTGTCTGAGAGGACTTTCCCAATCACCCCATCTTTATCACCAGGGTATGGGGAAATGCCAGTTCCATCAGAGTGGATAGGAAAATAGGTATAAGATCCAATAATTATCAGATATACCCAGAAGCATACACTGGTATAAAAAATATATGACTTTTATTCGGAATTATAAATAGCTTTTATTTAAGTGATCTAAAAGTCTCTACCAGGTGCCTTTTGTTGGCTTGGTTGAAAGAAATTACTGGTTACATTTGAAAGAAGCAAATCTGCAATTCTTTACAAAACATTGTATAAACAGATTTTCATTTGTTCTTACTGGTCCTCTCCAGTCAGAGGGCCGGGAATATAAAAGACTGGCCCACTCACCTTATGTTTGTAATAGTTTGAATGGAGTCGTGCTAAGCTCTCATACATCTGATCACAGGCCTCAGGCTCTGCAATCTGAAAAACAAAGAACCCCCAAGGAAGTGAAGAATCATGCCCTGCCTCCCACATCATGTCTACACCTCCAGAAAGGACCCCCCCCAAACACACACACAATTAAATAAGGCATTCACATGAAGCAGACCTGCAGCTTAGCACTACCTTTGCCACTCCATGGGAAGCAAACTTGGCCTACAGCTCTTGCTATCAGAAATCACCTTTTTGGAGTAAAGGCTCCACCTAATCAACTCCCTAATTTGAAAAAACTCAGTTGATCAACAGGCAAACAAACATTTCTTGAGCATCTGTGACCTGTGAACCACACCAGCTGCAGTGGGAGACGTCACAATAAAAACAATACTGGAAGGGCGTATCTCATAAAGGGAGTGCTAGGGGCAGTGTGAGTTACAAGAAGTCAGAGAAAGGGGCATCCCCACGTGCTCGAGTGGTCTGTGTATGGTGGAAGCGAGACTGAGCTGGGTTCTGAGGGATACACAGGAGTTTGGGAGAAGGGAGAGTGGAGAAGCCCTTCCTGGTAGAGGGGATGGCAAGAGCAAGGCAGAGGAGGCAGTAATGCTACCTATGCTTTAGACCAGACTATCTGGCTGAGGGCCTGAATATGCAGGTAAAAGAACTTGGCCTGGAGAAACAGAAAGCGCTTTTGAGTTAAACCTTCAATATGAAATGCATTAAATAAAGATTCTTTCATGAAAGGC